ATGTACTGTGCAACTCATTTTCTATAATCATGGCAGAGCCGTCTTACAAGTGAAGGTAGTGGCAGCGGCGGCGGTCGTCTTCGTCATCGCCCTCAGAACCACAGGTCGTTGTCAATCGCTGCGAGTTTTTTTTTGTCAAGATCGCTGGCGCGTTGTTCAGTGCAGCTCAGCGACTCAGTCCCATCCCATCAACTGGCCATGTTGATTGTTTTCGTACCTCATCGCTTCGCAGTGGGCATCGGATAGCATATGCCGTGAATACGCGATAGCGATAGTTCACTGCGGACGAACAAACGACCAAAGGCGTTCCAGCTACAGTTCAATTGAAGTTCTCGCTGTTCATGGTGTACGGTGCGGCTGCCGTAGTTTGGCTGATGACGGTATGCAGTTCAAACCATCCGTTCATGCGAGCGCGTTATGTTTTTTGTTCAATCGCAGGTCATAGCAAAACTGACACTCGCATAATTTAAGATGAACAGAGACGGACGCTCGATCTGAATTGGAGAAGCTCGCAAAGCAGCATCACTGCCGGTTTTATACCACGTAGTCAACGTCCGTGTGTCTGTGAGCAGCGGATGGCGGTCACGTCGTTATTTTCTGTCTTTCCGCTTTCCATCATGTTTAATGCGCGGTCATCTGCGGACAGTGTTTTCTGGCACCGGTCTGCTACTGACCAAGCATAATCCGGAGTCGCCGCTGCTCACTCTCTCACTCTTCCTCACGCAGTCGTCGCGTTGCGACCTCCAAGCCTTACATCCATGTTCTTGTTCGCCTCGTCGGTCAGCGGATCACGGTTGACTGAGCAATAAAGGCGACCGGCAGTGAGTTGTGGTGGCAGAGGACCGGCCGAGCCGCATGTGCAAGGATTCACGCTGTACCGTTCCGTCATCCATCGCGTAGCCTCGTAGTCCACCACCCGGCGCCGCGCCGCTGTTCTCGTCCCTGCACTACCTACCTATCGTCGTCCACAGCGCTCTCCGCCAGGCCAACAGTCATCATCGCACACGATACAGTGTTCTTCAGGATGTTTGTCGTGCTATTTCTGTCAGCCGTCTTTATGCCGTGAGCCGATATACGTCGTCGCCTAGATATAACCTATCGCCAATGCAACTGTTCTTCCTCACACACAGAACTATCATCATTGTCGTTTTGCTCCTGAGAGGTAGGTGCTGCTTGTTTTTTCTTGTCTCCCATGTCACCGCAATTTATCCTGCCCACTCTGATTGCGTTTCTGTACAACGCAACTATTCTTTCTTGTTTCATTCAATACACCTTAAACCCAGATTTACAGTTAACGGCGCTAAACCTATTGCTAAGTACAGTTCTTGTGCGATTCTGTTTTACTCCGATCAGACAGTTCTTTTCCAAGCACAGACACAACTCTACAAACCGCTATCAGAACATCTGTTACAGACTGCGCTACAGCAAGGCTTTCGTAGGTTGTCGCACAGCTACCCAGCTGATGTGTCTGTTGCAGCATAGTTTGCTTGAACCCACCATCCACTAACTAAAATAAATCCAAATAATGAAAGGTGTGACATCTGCTGCTGTGTGATACCGTCACTACTAAACCAAGCATACTGTTGACCGTAGTTGCGAACAGTAGCATCGTAGGTGCTCAAGAACAAGGTTTCTTAATCATGAGTGCATGGTGTGCGAGTGCTCAGTTGGAAGCAGATGCTCGTAAATCTTCTGTCGGAAAGACAACAAAACAGCAATTTCTCAGAACAGCGATGCCAGTGTAAAGAGACAAAAATGTAATTTGCCGACATCAAGTCAAAGAGTCAATCAAGTGCAAGATACTATGTGTTTCCTTGACAAGACGGTTCCTCGGTTCTGTTTCCTGACTGAAACAAAACAACACCAGTTGTTCATTAAATTTGCCCTAAAGACTTACGGGTGGCTTTCCGATATTTTTCACCCTTTATAATGTTCGCTAAAGTTTCGGTGTTAGAAAAACAGTTGATTATTTGACCAAATATCAGAAATAGCAGAAATTTCCATGAAATAGAGAAATCCTTACTACAGAATGTTCGTTTTGATGGGATTATAATAACCTAGTAGCTAAAAACCGTTAGGAAATAACCGGTAGCTCCGTCGGATAAAACAACCAGACATGTTGGTTAACGGATTACCGTCCATTTGGATTTTAGCTTCTTGGCAAGCAGTGTTCAACAATAGATGGATGTCTGAATGATTCATGGTTCAGGGCACCAAATACAACAGTTGCTGGAACAGTTTTTTTGCCGACTCGTTTCGCTACATAGACCGTCGCATAATCAGGGTTAGGTTACGTACAAATGATTGCTTGAAGGCACTTATGCTCCCAAGTGAGTAATACTTTACAATCAAAATTTTACTTTATTGAATGGCCCGAATTTTGACCAACAGCCAGCTTGAAGTTCTCATTAAAATAGTCAGATCGTTTCGTGTAAACACGTTTCATCATATCAGTTTTGCAATCGCCCCCCTCCAGTTTCGTGAAAATGTTAGATTTCTGCGTGTAGGCCAAATCCAGACGTACGGCATTCCGATGGGTTACCCGGTGAGTGTTGTTTCAGCTGATCTTTGTATGGACCACCTGAAAGTGAAAGCCATTAAGAAATGCCTACCAGAAATCCGACCACTGTTCTATATCGATTTGTTGATGACATTTTCCTATTATCCTAAGGAAATGAGAACGAACTGAAAAGGTATGAATACTTTGTGAATGGACAAGATAAAACTGCCCGAATACTCTTTACTAGCGAAGTGGAAGTTAAGCACTCTACGTCCTTTCTGAACGTGGTGGTGAAGAGTAAGCCTTCGTTAGAATTTGAGGTTTCCGCATATCGGAAACCAGCTCATTCCAATTGATACCTATAACCGGTTCATGTGCCCCACCTGGATTACTCAGGAGCGTGGTAAAAAACATGCGATTGCGAGCCCAAAAATCTGCACTGCCACTTCAGACCTAAACGCAGAAATCCAGCATCTTCATCAAACGCTCCTAAAGCACGGTTACCGAAGGAGGATCCTTGGCGAACTTTCGAATCCCAAATAAAATTTAAAGTTGGTCAGTTCGTATAGGCCGATGGTAAAATTGCCATTCACACCCCAGGTACCTCAACGTATTACGAGGTACCTTAATAGCATGGGGCTGGATGTACTGCAAGACTGGCAGAACATTGGACGACATTTTGTTTATAAAGTACATACCCATTAATAACTCTGAAGAGGTGATAGTTGATTGAATACCCGTATAAAAGTGCGCTTTTCTGCGATCCACCTTAGACAGGCTGAAAACTCCGGTATTGCTCAGCATGCGATTCCTGAAGGCATTTTTACAGAGAGATCAGTGTGTCTGTTATGGACAAAAACTAATATAAATTAGGTCTGCTGATAAAGGAGTCCTTGTATGTACTGACAGTGAAAAACCGGGTGTGCAGTGAATGCATATCATCTGTGATTATTAACGAAAGCTGGAAGACGAGTAA